CCTCGAAGGGGTTCCAGCTTCCGCGCCGCGCGCCCCCCGACGTCGTCCGCAGGCCGCCGGCTCCGTGGCGACGGGAAGCTGGCGAGCTGAACGCTGAGTGGGGACCACACTGGGGGATTTGGCACGCTTTCACTTCTCCCGCGACTTCTCCCGTCAGAGACCTTCGAGAAAGCTCCACTGCCAGAGCCTGCCGTTCGCTTCCTCAAATTACAGTCGTTCCCACCAAGGCCGAAGCTTCTAACCTTTCCCCAGTAGCAAAATGGGGGTGGCTCAACCTGGGGCTCCAGGAGATCCCAAGTTGTATCATTCACAGGGCTCTCTGGTACATTCAGGGAGAGTAGACCCAAGCATTTTCTAGGTACCTGGATATCCATGTATACAGTTCAAAACGGGTGGCTTTGTTGCAACTCTGACTTAGATTTGTCTTTTTAAATCACAGCTATAAAATCATTAAAAATCAGGATACGCTAGCACGTTATTTGGTAAGTGCATCTGTCAGATTTTTAATTTATTTTTAAATGCTGCAAGCAGCTTTAAAGAGCTTATTTAGCCTCGAATTTTACAAGTAGAGGAAAAAAAAGTGAAATTCAACAGAGCTGGGGTATTGATTCTATTCAAGCCCTACCTTCTGTTTCTCTGTACCCCAGCCTCACACTTCCTCACTTAGATCTGTATGCAGAAAACAGCAAACTCACCAGTCTGAAAAGTCTAGCCATGAAATCCATCAACCCACTCCAATTTCAATTAAGAAATCCTGGGTAAAGAGTGTTCACTGATTGTTTCCACAAATACACTGGAGCAAATCCAATTGGAACAAATCCAAATACCGTAACAGAAATGGAAATTACATATTTTAAACTGAATCACTGCATTTTCTCATGATCTCTTGAAGGAAAGATAAATGAGGTTAATGTTTTACCAGGTAAACTTGCCATACCAATCTCATAGGATTATGATTGGTTTTATAAGCTTTAAATAAGATTGTTTAACTATGGACAACTAGTCATCTTCTAGAAGAGATTTTGGGTTTAGAGAAAGCTGGTTTGGAGTCTATTTTTGACATTTTGAGCAATAGGGTACCCAACTGCTTCGAGGTAGCCAGCATCATACAGACCCCAATAACCCCGCCCTGCCCTGGATGAGAGCAAGCTCCAGGAAACTGCCTCTAGGTAAGAAGCCCCTCAAGGTAAGTGGCCTGAATTGAACTGTGATTTCGATTCTAAGTGAAGGAAGAAGTAGGAAGAAGAGAAATTAGAAGGTGGAACTGAAGGGAGTTATCCAGTTAATTCAGCCAAGCCAAATACTTCCAATGAAAATTTCAGTTTGGTATCTGAGTTATTTAGGTGGGGCATTGTCATCAAGTTGAATAGTTTCCATCTGTGTCCATTATGTCCATCTAAACTGGCTTTTGAAAAAGGGTTTTCAAGAGGCCATTTCACTGTCCAAGAAGGGCAAGGAATTCTTGCCAGGCTCAGCTGACTAAAAACCAAAACAAACCAAGGCAGTGCATGTTTATCGAGTGAGTGGAGTTGGAGTCTAGTGATAGAAAAAGAATCCGAAAAGGACATCTGGGTGGATCCTCCAGCTTTAGGCCACCCAACCTCCCACGCATCCAAAAACCTGGCTTTGTTTCCCCGCTTTAAGACATCTCCAAGATGCAGAATTCCCCATCTCCTTTGATAATCAAGTCTAAGTTTAATTAGCCTAAATTTTGTACAGTTAGTCAAATTCTACTCATTTTCAGCCTACTTCCTTCTCCACAGGAAATGAGGCTTGTTCAGAGAATGCCTCAGGGGTTATGAGCCTTCTGTGTGGGTAGCACAGTGAAAACTTGGGCCAGCTGGCTAATTTTATGGAAGGCCAGGCAGGACTAAACAGCATCCTCCAAAGAATTTGCTGAGACATTTCACACCTATAATTTACAACAGAAAGATATATAATTTTGTAAATAGGCTAGTGAATTATTAGTCTCCTAAAATTATATTTCTGATAATTAGATTTTTACATGGGACTCCGTGAAGTTCTGGTCTGGTCTGCAATAGGAAAGAGCCCAGCAACCCAAATGACACTGGTACTTTACTTTAAAAAATTAATCCCTTTAGGTCAGTGGTTTGCAAACATAAATGCACACATAAAAAACGGTTGTTAGAATGCAAATTCCTATTACAGACAACAAGAGTAATATTATTAGGAGCCCTAGTGGCTACATGTTAGGCTGCAAACTGCAAGAGTAATATTATTACTTACACAATCCTAAAATATTAATGATAACTGTTTGTTATTACCATGGCAATACATAAGCAGATATGCAAGCTGAACAGGTATGGGTGGGCGAAAGGGACTATGCCCATGACAATATATAGGCTTGAAAAAGAATATTTCTACATGTGTGTACTGTAAACATACCTATGTATATAGTCGAGCAAATTGTAGGCAAAGTTAGGAAACCTACTCAGCCATAACTAAACACCTTAGAGGAAATGTGTCACTGGGTTTAAGGGTTTGAGACCACAGTTTTGGGGTAACAGCTAAGTCAGCATAAAGGTAATAGCTCTACACGAGTAGTGAGTAGTCTCTTCAAAGCTACAGAATGGCCATCTAAAATACAGCTATTGGCCTCACCGTGATGGGAGGAAAGGATAATAAAGCAAATCAAAGAATCAGGGAAACAGGTTCAGTCTCCAGTACCTTGAGACCAGAAGAACTAGAGGGTGCCCAGCCACCACTACCGACCTTTCTGATCAGGCCCCCAGAAGGTATGGAGAGAAAGAGAAAAATGGAAGAACAAGATTCAGATTTATAAAAAAGATGACACTTCCTGATATGCTAGGATGGGTAGAAGAACCCCCAAGACTGTGGCCCTTAGCCGCTCTTCAAACTCGGAACAGAACCCACTCCCAAGGATCCCCTTGCAAAAAGAAACAGGCCTAGAAGATGTCATGACTCTGTGTAACAGCTTCCCCCCACCCCCTGCCGCAAGGGGGACAAACAGCAGAAACGTGGGTGAAGGGAGACAGTGGGTGGTGTAAGATATGAAAATAATTTCTAATTCATCAAGGGGTCACGAGGGTGGGCGAGGGGGAGGACAAGGGTTCAAGTAGAAAGTGAATGTCTAGAAAATAATGATGGCAACCTATGACAAATATGTTTGATATGATGATGTCTGGATTGTTATCAGAGCTGTAAGCGCCCCCAAGAAAATGATTCATTTTTAAAAAGGAAAGAAAACGTCGTAACTCACATGAGGAACATGCTCCTCACAATAATCAACCATGAAGGCCAAAGGGGCAGGATTTGCCAAAAAAACAAAGCTCAGAAGGCAGGGAGGAGCAAGAATGAGACAGATGAATGGGTATGACGGAAACCCAGGGAAGAAGTAGCAAGAATGCTGTTACTTTGAAGGAATTGCAACTGATGTTGTGGGCTGGGGATAGGGGCGGGGGATAGTATATAAATTATTGGATGGAAAATTAATTTTCTCTGTAAGCTTCCACCTAAAACACAATTTTAGAAAAGAATGCAGATTCCTAAATCCTGCTGCCCAATGTAATCCATCAGAACAGAGAAGGGACTGGGAATCTAAGTTTTAAATGCCAGTTTCCCACAAGTCTGAAGTAGATAATTCTTAAACCACAAGTTGAGAAACTCTACCCAACATGCACTTTCCCGTAATTCAGCCTCGTATTTTAGAAACTTTGAGGAGGTAAATGTTTAGAAATGGAATCCTAGGTTCCAACTGGGGATGGCTCGAGAAGGGCGCCTAAAATTATCTAAAGTCTCAAGCTCACAAATAACTCCCCAGAGTTTCCATCAATCTGAAATTTGGGGGCAGCTCTTGTGGCATAGTGGTCACACACTGGACCACAATCCTAGAGGTCAGCAGTTTGAAACTACCAGCCTTTCCTGGGGACAAAGATGGGACTTTCTGCTCCGACTGTAACTCACAGAAGATGGCATCGACTAGACGACAGTGAGCTAGGTGTGGGGTTTTGTTTTGTTTTTAAATCATTCTGTTGGGGACTTGTACAACTCTTATCACAATCCATCCATCCATCCATTGTGTCAAGCACATTGGTACATTTGTTGCCATCATTCTCAAAACATTTTCTTTCTACTTGAGCCAATGGTATCAGCTCCTCGTTTTGTTCTCCTCCCTCTCCCACCCGCCCCCCCTCTCTCATGAACCCTTGATAATTTATAAATTATTATTTTGTCATATCTTACACTGTCCGACGTCTCCCTTCACCCACTTTTCTGTTGTCCATCCCCCAGGGAGGGGGTTATATGTAGATCCTTGTAATCGGTTCCCCCTTTCCACCCCACCCTCTGTCCACCCTCCCAGGATCGCCACTCTCAGTACTGGCCCTGAAGGGATCATCCGTCCTGGATTCCCTGTGTTTGCAGTTGCTATCTGTACCAGTGTACATCCTCTGGTCTAGCCAGACTTGCAAAGTAGAATTGGGATCATGATAGTGGGGAATTGTGCTCCATTATAATGTAAATAATTCAGGATGTTGTCTAACTAAATCACTTCATCAGACAAATAATCCCCTGGTTTTCTTCTTGATAACTAGCTGAGATAAATCAACTTCAGGAAATGGACATATTAATTAACATGAGAACTTAAGTCACTTCCACTAGTTTTAACATGGTTAAAGTTAGGTGGAAGGTTTGGGCAGTTGAAGGGTAAAACAGGTGCTGAGGAGAAGGTTACCAAAAAAATAACTAATCAATCAAGAACTAATTGATTCTTCATTGTGCCACACTCTATCTTTGACCTTGACATTAATAATGCTTTTGCTTGTTACCACAGAATCATTACAATGTAGGGCAAATTCTGTAGCTTCTGCTTTGTGGACTGTATTTCTAGGATGATTGTGTGGAGTGGGGTGGTTTTGGTTTGTTTTAATATGTATCTTTTTGGATAAAAAAAGACATTAGTAAATTAATTTTCTTTGATCATTCAAAGTGTTTGGAAACAAAGCAACATCTTATTTCCGGTTCCCTGAGGAGGTAGATGAAAACAAGGACTTTGGAGCCAGCCTTCTGGCCACGTACGTCCAGTTCCACAACTTTATAACTTTTGGCAATACTTAACTTCCTTGTGTCTCCATTCTGGCATCTGAAAAATGGAGCTCAATATCAAGTGCCTACATTATAGGGGTGTTAGGATGATTCCTGAGCATTTAGAATAGTGTCTGGCACAATAGGTAGTCAATCAAAATTAGCTTTTCATGACTCAATAGGAAAATATCAAAGGAGTTGCTTTTAAGGCATCTTTCTTTCATTCTCTTCAATTTTCTTTTTGTTTTATGGTAGCATAGTAGTTACACATTGGGCTGCTAACCCCAAGGTCAGCAGTTCGCAACCCCCAGCCACTCTGAGGGAGAAAGATGAGGCTTTCTACTCCATTAAAGAATTACAGCCTTGGAGACTCACAGGAGCAGTTGTACCCTGTCCTTTAGGATTACCATTAGTTGGAATCAATTCTATGGCAGTGAGTTTATTATATCTAACGAGAGTAATATTTTCTAAATCAGCTTGCTTATATTATCTTAGAGAAACCTGATACTCTTTCAAGCAATAGTATTGTTACCTTTGCTAGTGTTTTATCACTGTTTATTGAGGTGCTGTGTGGGCAAAATCAAAATTTTTAATAAATAAGTATTCGGATATTCTGGAGTAAAAGTTAAGTGGCAAGGCAACAAAAACTATTTTACTCTGGAGTTGCTTGGTGAAGGCCGGAGTAACACCGCCCCCACCACCACCACCCCCCAGGTGAAAAACACAACTTTCCTGATACTACTACCCCTATTTTGATTCAGGGGAACACAGGCAAGCCCCTGAGAAGTTAGTAAGTCGCATGACTATTTAATCATTGAAAACATTTTCATTTTCACAGAGCCACAAAGGGCAGTATAAAAGAATAACTGCAAATTGATTAAACGAGGACAGCTTACCCCTCGGGAGGAGCCCTGGTGGGTGCTAGTCCATGTTGTACTGTGGTCTTCAAGTCTGCAGTGTGAAACTTCCAACTACTCCGAGGGAAGAGGGGGCGGAGGGGGAAGATTTCCACTCCGGTAAAGAGTTATCGTCCTGAAACAACCCACAGGGGAACTCTGTCTTACCCTCTAGGGGCGCCACGAATCAGAATCTTCCCCATGGCTCTGAGTTGGGTTGTTTTGGTTTACTTCTCTTTTGGAACCCTGAGTAAGCACCGGGCTGCTAGCCAAATGGTTGCGGTTTGAACCTACCCAGCAGCTCCACTGCAGAAAGACTTGGCACTCTGTGTCTCTAAAGATCACAACCAAAAAAGAAGAAAGAAAGAAAAAACCGGGTGGGAAAATTCAAATCTCTCTGCTATGGTGTCTTCACGAGTGGCCCCTAAAGTAGATTCCGTATAAGCAAGTGAAAGGGTTAATCGACACAGCTTCCCAGGAACACTAGATGGTGCTAGTCATTCAGCCTGGGGATTCAAACGACGTCAGCGAGGCAGTCTTCACGAACAAATGTTGTATTTATTCATTTAAAAAAAAAAAAAAGGTTAAAAAAATTTTGTTTTCCCTGCAGAGTTACAATATACTAGGGCTGGGGTGGGAAGAAAGACAATCCAAATAAAATACGTACTACTAGGAATGTAGTCTATGGAAGGGGCTATGCTATGAAGAGAAGCCCCAGGGCTTGGTGCTAACCAAAAGTTGGAGGTTCAAGTACACCCTGAGATGCTTTGGATGCCAGGCTTCGCATCCAAAGGACAAATTCCGTTCTTGGCTCAAGAACTACCAGCCACTGAAAATTATGAATGTCAGCTCTAACACACAAGGGATCACCATGTGCCTGAATCACCTGGATGCAAACTGGTTTTAAGTGCTTGGAGAATCAAGCAGGGAAAAGGGGTGGGGGGCATCTGTCCTTTTAAATAGGCTAGTCAGTCAGGATGGGTTTCACTGGGAGGTGTCATCCGAACAAAAACTTGAGACAGGAAAGCTAGCCAAGGGGACATGGGGTGTGGAGCCCTAAGACCCCAGGCTTGTGTCGGGAATTGCACAGAAGATTTCCATTGCTGGGGGGTGGGGGGACGCGGGGATGGGGGAGCGTTGAGGTAGGAAGAGGAAGCCAGATTGCATAAGGCCTGTGGACTGCAGTGAGGATGTTTGCCCTAAGTGTGCATAAAAACACCATTAATAGAGATGGTGATTTCACACAAATATTAGGGGAGTTGAATGAGTTAGTGATAGGAATACCATAAATGATGGACAAGTTAGAGTTATCCTAAATCAACTTGATAGTTTATAAGATGCGTTGACTTAACAGGAGAAAAATGTTATGGCTTGGAGGAGCCACCTCTGACCTCCTTGGGCTCCCAAACCTGATGGCCACAAAGCAGAGGTCACCCATGCCTCTACCTTCCATCCTCTTTGACCTGTTCTGGAACCAACCGTTCCTCCCACAACACTCGGCTTTTCTGCTGGATTCTATAATTCATTGCAGTGGTCATACAGAACTCACCGATGATACTCATGATTATGGGGTTTGTTAAAGAAGTTAGCAGGTTATAATTCAGGATATAGTTGTTTAGTCAAGATGGTTTCTTCCCTGCTGTGCCCACAAGTAGTCCTCTCTCTGGCCCTCCCCCTCTTGACCTTGCCTCTGCCCTTCTCAGGGCTGCCAATAAATGCCCAAGGGCATGCTACTCTGCTGTAAACCTCAACCCAGAGGCACTCAACACCAGCTTAGCAAACCTAGCCCCCCTATTTAGATGTCCAGAGGTACCGCACTCCATAAACCAGCCTCCTGCCCCAAAGCACTTAGCTTTGCTTGCTTTGTGGGCTGGGAAATCCATCACTCTGGCTCCTACTCCTCTACGGTCAAAGCCATCTCCTGGATCAAGGAGGCTCAGTGCACAGGGAGCTCTTCATCCAAAGGACAAATTCCGTTCTTGGCTCATCTCACCAAGACCACCATCGGCTTCTGAGATAGCTACTTTTATTTCCTGTAGGAATGGCAATTACAACCCTGCTACCAATCACTCGCAGGGGTCTTCAAACTACGGCCCGCGGGCCATATGCGGCCCGCCGAGGATATTTATCCAGGCCGCCGGCTGGTTTTGCCCCATTTTGTTTTTTTACTTCAAAATAAGATATGTGCAGTATGCATAGGAATTTGTTCATAGGTTTTTTTAAAAACTACAGTCCGGCCCTCCAACAGGTCTGAGGGAAAGTGAACTGGCCCCCTGTTTAAAAAGTTTGAGGACCCCTGACTCACAGCTTAATCATAATCTAATCAGTCTCTTCCTCACCGTCTTACCCAGACTTATCAGGAAAAAGACGGCTGTTTAGTGGGTGTAACAAAGGCTGTGGTTCGACTCATAGCAACCCTATAGGACAAAATAGAACTGCCCCTGTGGGTTTCCGCAGCTGTAAATCTTTACGGGAGTAGAAAGCCTCATCTTTCTCCAATGGACTCTGTGATTAGCAGTTCAGTGTTTAACCCACCACCCGACCAGGGCTCCTCCATTTAACAAGAGGTTCTCAGCATGTCCTTGCCGCTTGGTGAGTACAGGCAGGTACACTTTAGGATTCCTTTCAGTTCAGGTTTGGCTGATTTCTTCATGATTAGATTCAGGCTAAGTATCTGGTAGGAATGTCACAGAAATGATACTATGTTCTCATGATTTCCTATCAAGTGGCCCGTGGTTCTGATTTGTACCATTATTGGTGATTAACTTTAAATTTGCTCTTTTACCCTTTGGATTTTATAAGTATTTCGTGGGGAGGTTCATTGATAGCAAACAGCCCGTCTTTGCGCCCCTCTTCTTTTCAGGAGGCATGTGTTGGGACAAGGTTGGAAAAGGTCACTCCGTGTGGAAGACAAACGATAGCCTCACTGGCGGTAAGTCATGTTGCTTCTCCCCGACCTTTTCTTGAATTGCTTCTGCCTCAAGGCATTCCATAAAAACCCTAATAATTGCATTGGCAATGCTTGACCAATATTATTCTCATTTCACCCTCAATTAGGTACTTTAAGTTTTCCTATTTTATTGTAGAGGAAACTGAGACAGAGAGGTTAAGTTACATGCCCAAGGTCACACAGTTCTAGAGATGTAGAGCAGGATTTGAATGTAGGCAATCTGACACCAACCCACAATAAGAAAAAAGGCACACACAAAAAAAGTCCAGCCTCGAGTTTTCTTATTCCCACTGCCAATTAATGAGGATAGTGGACAAGGGTTAGGCTGAGTTTGAGTGTTCATTTATAAAGTTTTCTTAGAAGGAAATAGGGTACCAACCACACAGACACAATAATAATATCTCCAAATACATTTTTCCATAAAAATAATCCTGCATGTGTGCTAATATCTACGTATAAGGTGTTGATCATCGTATCATTTGTTGTAGTGAAAAATTGGCAATCTCGAAGGCAGAGTTCAGTAATCATCATTCACTCAATGGAGTGCCAAGCAGTAGTTGAGCGATGAGGTAGAGCTATTTGTGCTAACTTGTGCGGGGTGGGGGCACCTCGTAGAACCATGGATGTCTGGCTCCATGTGGAGGAAATAAGTGTGTATTTGCATCCTCCTATTTATGTAGAGGCATTGATAAAGATGGAAAGGAGCAGCACCAAACAATTAGTTGTATCCGGTAGGTTGGGGAGCAGAACGGGGGTGGGAGTGAAGGGGACGGTCACATTTTATACTGTGTACTTTGGAGACAGCCGTCATGCTTGGTAAAGTAGAGGGGCAGCGAAAAAAGAAAGACCTTCAGCAAGATGGACTGACACCGTGGATCGCTCAATGGGCTCAAACAGAAGAACAATTGTGAGGGTGACATAAGGCCAGGCAGTGTTTCCTTTTGTTGTACTCGGGTCTCTGAGTCGGACCCAACTCAACAGCACCTAACAACAGTAACAAAGGGCTTTGGTATAAATGACCACCTGCTGCTGTGCAGGAGGAGGACGAAGCTTTCTCCTCCCCTGAAGATGTATAATCTTGGAAACGCAAAGGGCCAGCCCCATTCTGCCCTGTTGGGTCACTATGAACTGGCTCGGTGACAGGAGTGAGAGCTACTTTACCAAGCATGAGTCCTTTTCCAGGGACTGCACTCTCCTGATGACATGTCCAAAGTATATGAGATCAAGTCTCATCATCCTCACTTATAAAAGGCATTCTTGTCTTTCTTCTGGATTTGTTTGTTTTCCTGGCTGTCTAGGTGCTTTCAGTATTCGTTGCGAACATCACAATTCAGAGACTACAGTTCTTATCGGGCTTTCCTTAATCATTGTCCAGCTCTCACATGTGTATGAGATGTTGGAAAATACGATGGATTGGGCTGGGCACATCTTAACCCCTAAATATGGCATCTTTGCTTTTTAAAACACCTTTAAAAGGTTTCGCGCAGAAAATTAGCCCAATGCAATGCATACTTTGATTTCTGGACTGCTACTTCTGTGAGTGGATTATGGGCCCAAGTAAAGTGAAAACATGACAACTTCTGTCTTTTATCCATTTATCATGACGGTGGTTATCGGTCCAGCGGTGAGGATTTGTGTTCTCCTTATGTTGAGGTGTAATTCATACTGAATGCAGGCTGCAGTCTCTGACCAAGTCCTCTTCGCTTTCAGCAAGCAAGGTTGTATCAACTACACAAACAATCTTCTTCCAACTTGATGCCATATTCTACAGGTAGTCCAGTTTCTTGGATTATTTGCTCAGTATACAGATTAAGTAAATACAGTAAAAGTATACAACCTTGATGCATCCCTTTCCTGATTTTAAACCCCTCAGTATTCCCTGGTTGTATTCAAACCACTGTCTCTCATTCTATAAATGGGTTCTGCATGAGCACAGTGAAGCATTCTGGAATTCTCACTGTTTGCAACATCTTTTTTTAATCGTTTTATTAGGGGCTCATACAACTCATCACAATCCATACATACATCAATTGTGTAAAGCGCATTTGTACATTCATTGCCCT